AATGAAGCTGGAGATTCACTTTCACAGAGCCACACAGAACATGGAGGATTTTATTCAGCTGTGGGGTTCAAACAACACTACAGTTATAATCTTCTTTCTGTACGTGGCAAAGATTTGGAAATTAAATGGAAGCGGGGTCCTTCAGCAATAATAAAATGTAATATTTTGATAAGGCTGGAACAATGGATGTCTACTCATCTGCTAACGTGTATGATGTAATGATGTGATGATGTGGCAGACTGGAGATGTATAAAATGCCTTTTTTTTGTTAATTGGGGCCACTTCCTGAGAGGGGAGCCCAGAGGTGAGCAACTGACATTCTGTAAACTTTAAGCAATATCTCTGATCTGAGTAAGATTACAATTTCTATCAGCATCTGTTGTCATGTCTCCTGGTTATTTTATACATATAAGTTATGAAGTGTTATTTAAAGAGTTTGGCCTGAGTGATCTCCTCTCAGGGAAAAGAACCGGAGAGATAGAGCGTCAAAGTGCATACACAGAGCCTATTTTTAACACTGACATTGACTTCTCTGCTGCGCCTCTTACTCTTCATGATGCTGATCAGAAAACTGAATTTTGCAGTTTTTGTCTTTTATTATAAATTATTCAAAACCAAGTGTCCAACGTCCCATTTGTGTTAATTTTGCTCATAAAATCCTCTCCTAAATCAGGATACTTTGTGGTTGTAGCTGTAACAGAATAGAAAATATGGTGCAACACTGAATACTACCCAACTGTAAAACAAAATGTAGAAAAGAAAACATGGTTAGTAGGAAGGGAAGGGTTAGGGAGGGATTAGGAGCTAAAGAGGGGAGGGTGATAAACAGAGGAATTGTTGAGACGTTGCATAATGAAGATGGGGAAAAGCATTCAGATCTTGACCACAGAGAATTCACAGGGCTGTGGTCAAAACAGATTTTTCCCACAATGCTCTGCTGCAGATGTTCTCAGTGTTTCATAAAAAACAAAGACAGTTCTATGAGAGAAAAAGCGAGAGAGAGAGAGAGAGAGAGAGAAGAGGAGAGTATGAGACATACACACACTTTCCTCTTTGCTAGGCAATTTGTTTGGAATAGACGGTATCTCCCAAACTAAAATCCTTATCCTAGTCTTGCAGGACTTGGACTGCAATCCTCTTTTCCCCATGTAATCCTTCAGAGGTGGCGTGAAGTTGATAAAGAATGAGTCTATAATATCTTTCTGGGGATGAAGCTGTACTTTTGACTGGTTTTCAGTTCACGGGCCAATAAAAACATTTTTTTTTGCTCTTATCATCCAGCCCCAACTCCAAAAGAAAGCAGAGTGATGCCAAATCTGGAGGCGCTGTGAAGCATAAGATGAAAGGATATTGAGCTAAAGAACAGGAGGGAGTCATCAGTTTGGCATATTTGTTTATTTAAGCATTGATTTTTTTTTTTCCATTGATGAACTGAACAGTTTCTTTAACCACGGTCGGATTTACTGGTGATGCAATACACTATGGATGTTTTAAAAAACTTAATTTCTTCATCCTTGTCAAGAATTCAAATGTCCTTGTAAGCGTTTAAAGCTGTAATTTTTAACAGCTCTTAAAGCTTTCTAAAGTTCTGCTTTGGGCTTTTGATGGTTTTCTCTTTTTCCTTTCTGTCCCGCTATTGTTCACATGTATGTGCTAATAACTAAGAAACATGAATACAGTGAGCAAAAACTACATGTTCGGTCTAAATGTATTCAAAGTAAATAAACGTTTAATAATTATTTTTGAGTACCCGACATGAGAAATTCCTCCTGGCACACCTTTACTCTAAACTATGCTTTTAATTACCTAATGACTTATTTAAATAATTACAATGATAATCAACAATGATAATCTCTGAGTTAATATGAATCACCAAACTGGTTTCTAGTTTGAAGGATGAGCCTTTAAATCAGGAAGGTCAAACTTAAGTCCTCAGGACCGCTATCCTGCAACTTTTAGATATATTCCTGCCCCAACACATTTTAATCAAATATAATAAGAATCCTGCAAAGGGCCTAATTTTTTAATTCAGGTGTATTTAAAGCAGACATGACACCGGCCCTCAGGGACTGGATACCAACATCTCTGCTTTAGATGCTTTTTAAACTGGTATTGTAGCCTACTGGACGGGAAATAAAAGTTTCATATATTAAGGAATAGGAACAACAATGTTTTACTTCAGTCCACTCTTGAAAATATGTGTAACATAAATGCCCTACTTTCTGATGTCATATTGTTAAGGCTTTCAAACTGTGTGTTCAAAAATAAATGTAATGATTCAGAACAGATGGACCCAATATTATGGCATGACAGACAGTGGGATAGCTTAAAAGGCATTTATTTAGGCAACAACAGGCTGCGGGTCTGCAGCAGCAGTGGCTAGGGCGTCCGAGGCAAGTAACTCTGGGAAACACAGGTTAGTGACAGTGAAAACCTGATAGAAGATGATCTGAATGCATGAGTCACTAACCTGTTTTAGAGTTCAGACTGTGCCCAGTGAATAAGGTTAATACCAGCCGGCCAGCTGACAAGACCCAGCGCTTGATGCACAGAGTTCCAGACACCAAAGCCTTGAAGGACATAGAACTGACAGGAGATCAGAATTGAGCAGATGGCGAAGGAAGGCAGGATAATTCAGAGGGCGAAGTCAAGAGGCAGATCCAGGTTTAGTCTACAGTCGAATCCAATAGAATTCAAAGACAGGTCAGGCAAGCATTTCAGATCAGGGGCAGGCAGGCTCAAAGGTCCAAAGACAGAAATGGGTCAGGATCAGGCAAACAGAACACTATTAGTAACGCTGGAAAATTCTC